CCCATCGTCCTTCGGCCATTTCCTTTGAATGACGAAGACAGATGAACGGAATGTTCAAGCTCGCGTGCATGCCTTGTTCTACAGACTGTGTTGGTCTACGGTGAAAAATATCAATTTACTCGTCCTTTGGTCTTGCGCAAATTTCACGCTTTCACAAGCGTCTTAGGGCAGAACGCACCATGTGATAGCAATATTTCTTCTCTTGGATTGTCGTGGCCAAAGCCTACATTTCCTGGCCGAGCTGTGATTGGCTGTGCTTATTGTTGGGGGTTTCCGCTTTAATGTAAGGTAATTCTGCGCTAAAAACACGTATCATAATGTATACTGTTTGGTAAATTCTCAAATGGCCTCTCGTAAGTAACAGCATGAACTTTATACCACTCCACGTTTGGCAGGCAGCAAGCAGCCAGGTTTCCTATAGTTTCCTCTACTTTCCCTTGTTTAGAATATGTGATCTAAGGTTGTGGTCTATTAATTATGTTAGGATATATTTCTTCCCAAACCAACTGTGATTTGAGGCTTCCAAAGTCCTGGCGGAAATCTACATTTATATGGAATTCCTGTGAACCTACAGTAGGTCGGCTGGCTCATGAAAAGTCAACCGAAATTACAAAATGCGTTTTCTTTTCGAAAAGAATAATTAGGCAGGGTTGTAAAACTAATCAACGTGCAGCATAAGTATACAATAATTTATTTATCTAGGTATGCCGGCTTCCGAACGAACGTCCTTTCGGCTGCATTCAAAAACCTTACTCTGTAAAAAATGTCTACATAATATGTAGCTTGCGTTTTTCCATTGATTTTCAATGCATTTAAAATTGATATAAAATTGCGTCTTCTGATGTTATGTTCTAAGGAAGGGTATTATTCAAATATAGAAAAGTTTCCAATTGTGATGTTTTTTTAATACTGTGAAATGGCCGTTCATAAAACGTCATGTTGCTTGTAAAGTTAACTATGTGGCTCATATCCACTCCTAAATTGTATGAAACCCATATGATCTCCTCTTAATACAGTGGATAAATGTATGGTTTCGTATGCGGAAATTATATGGCGTGTAATTTGGAAACTCTGAATGCAAGTGTAACGGCAGGTCGGGGTTCCAAATTATTTGAGAATTGAAATCTTTTTAGAAAACCGAATTGTACCCTTCATTTGAGCATGCAATTGGGAGATGACGAAATTTTCTACCGAATGAGTAAGCGAATGAATATTTTATGTCTGTTTTCCATGAGATGTAGTTTAATTTTTAAGGACGTCACAAATCAATGAGAAAAATGCATACAACATACGTAGTAATTTTTTACAAAGTATGGTTTCTGCATGTAACCAAAAGAAGTTCGTTCGAAAGACGGCATCCTGAGGTAACTAAATTATCATAGAGTTATGATGCATGATGATTAGTTTTACAACCCCACCTAATTAATCCTTTCGAAACAAAAACGCATTTCAGAGTTTCCGTTGACATTTCACGAGTTAGCCCGTGGAAACATCAGTTATCCACTCAAAATTTATTTTAGCTCTTAGGACACTGCCTCTAGTGCGGTAAAACAGACGAGTGACACTGTTCTCCGTAAGGCGTGTTTGAATGCACAATCCATTTTGTGGACCTTTGTAGAACAATTTTGGACAGATTTAGTGGCTTAAGTCAATTATTAAAATTTGCATACTTCAATTTTTTAATGTACTAAGGCGAAAATTTACTCCTATTTTAGGTAACTCCGTCCATAAGCGAAAGCAACGACGAACACCATACCTAAAAGACAATTTGGAACAAGCGAAGCAGAAATAGATGGTGAAATAATACGAATATCTGTCAGGATGACGAATTAGGCATTGGTTCCTGTGTGTCGGTCAACTAACGCGTACAAATCGAGTCCGGAATGAAAAAACAAATACTCGGTACGCTGCTATCCAGCAGGGAAGAGGACAGACGTTCTACCGGGTTGAACGCGGTTATTTTGGAGTCGTTAGCTCAAAATGAAGATTTGAGTACATGTTGCAGAATCCGAAGTAGTGGTTTTAATCGGAACGCCAATAGTCCAAGTTGAATTTATTAGGATAGGATGGAAAACACCAGAATGATGGGTTTGCTGTCAACAGAACCCGGTGCTGCTATCTTGGGTCTCCGTGGCTGTCTGTATGTATGCAGTGGCGGCTGGGCCATCATAGAACTGCAGGGTTGATGAGTCAGTCCAAAGCGGGATTCCAAATGGCTCGCGATGCGTGTTTTTCTGGTCGTGCCGTGTCCGCGCCGGTCCGGAACTACTTCCGTGTAGGCGTGTGGCATACCTAAGAGTTTGGCCCTCAAACTGCGTCACCCGTTGAGCCCAACCCTATCGCCAGTCCTCCTCATCAGGCCGCAGCGTTTCTTCCGAACACGGCTTCTATGGCACTCCCACTTAGGTGGAATTCGAGGCGCACACTTGGAAGCCCGGCGTGAGCAGCTCGCGTGTGGAACGCGTAGACGGAACGAATAACTTTGTCAGGCTCTGTTCCCGAGTCCCCCCGACCATCTTGACATCGTTTTGTCATCAGAAGCCGGTGGGTGCGGGACGATATAGTGCGGTAGATGCTGCGCAAGTCGTCCTCAATGCAGACTAATTCAGGTGCGTGCCACCGGTGTTTCGTCCACTCCGTGGAGCACATCGTCGTTCGCGGCGGCCGAACTATCCTTAGCCCATGACTCCAGAGGCAGTGCGTCTAATGGTGGGGATTTCATTGGTGTGGTGTGTTCAACCCGGGGCCTGGACGGCTGCGATCGTTTGAATGAACGTGTATGCGCAGGTTGCAACCGATCAGATTGTAAGATCAGCGCGCCAGAAATTCCTACTGGGGTAAGTGGATGTCCTTGACGCAACGAGATGTTGACTATGGTCAGTATCAGATCTCATTATATGTTAACCGAGGTTCTCAAATGCATTTTCGATTATGAAGGGTAGCTTACGTAGGGCTGTGGATAGAAAAATGGAAAATGTAAAAAGCCTACCCTAGACTAAATCAATCCAAAACCGGAACTAATAACCGAAAAAAGCAGACAGAAGGAAGTAACGAGGTCTGGTTCTTATTCGTATTTCTGCATGGAGTAAAAGCGTCCAATGCGTGTGATGCTCTGGGTATAGTTGTAGGGTGAGATGTGGGCTACTGCCTGTAAGCCGGTATATCCACAAAAGCAGCTGGTTCTACTCAATAGCATAATCCTTTGTTACCTGTCAGGACTTCCAGATGGTGCTCTACCTATCTCCTGCCAAACCTACTTCATAAATCACGGATGCGCTGTGTCACCTGTCTAGCCGAGCATTGAAGAGGCGGCTTAGTTAGCTTTGAAGAATCGCCATAAATACGCAGAGAAGAAGAACGGACGAGGTTTGGGCCTGTAGCCCAACTTGAGTGATACCAGATGGCTAGCTTTCTTTAAAAAAATTGGGTAGATGCGAAAACGCCGAGTGTACAAATATCACGTATTCGCATCTTCCTTACAACTTAAATCCAACGACTGACTGTGCCACGGGAGAGGAGCGCTTATGCTCCAGCCTCGGTTACTTCAGGTATCAGCTCAGACGCGTTTCCCTGCGCGTCCTTCAAGCTCTGCTCGCACCCTCCTTATTACCCTAATCTAGCCAGTGGCCAAGAAGTCTCGCTCAAGGGATTGTTCCGATGGTGTGGAACTCCGTCGGTTTCACTACAGTGTTAATGTACTGAGATCCCCAGCGATGCCCTCAGTGGCCTTCCAGTTGTGATTGCGTCCCCCACAGCCTCTTAATCCAGCGATTGGCCGTGTTGGTGGGAGTGTGTGCACGCCCGTGCCCTCCAAACGAGCCACTGTTAGATGCGCTGGACCAACACGAGGGCCACATCGAATTCTGGCAGGCGTTATCTCTGCGTAATAACAAATGCCAACATGTAGGGGGTGCGTTGACAGACCCTGTTGTCGGCAGTCGTCGCAGAACTGGGATCACTGCCACGCCCTTCATTGTTGTGGCGGTCAAAATCCTGGTCATTTGTGTGTGGACCAGGGGGTGCGGAGTGGAGTGCCAAGGCGAGGATCCGTCCAAGCCATCCACCTGCGGTCTCCCTCGTCTCCGGTCTTCTTGACTCTGTCTTGACATCGGGCTCAGGCGTGGAGGGGGAGAAAATGTGGTAGATGCAGCGCAAGTCTACTGGCACTATGAACCCCTGCGCAAGTAACCGTTCCTGCTCCCACCACCTGCTGCGAGGCACACGGTGGACATCATCGAAATCGATGGTCGAACTATCTTGTGCACGCCACCTTCACTCGCTCCCCTTCGCCTGCTTTGAGCTCTACTTTCGCTCTCATTACCTTAATAATCCAGCGAGTGGTTAAGTTGGGTATGTTATCTAATACTGTTTAAGTAGGCTAACCATAAGGTATCAATCAGATGGGGCTGTAGAACCAAACCTCATCGAAGACCGGAGCATACACATTCAAACCTGCCGATACAAGCGAAGAGGCGAGTCCCAGGAACTAGTTGATCAGAAGAAGAAGCGATCGCTGGAACAATGGCTTTATTCGCCTGACGTTTCGGATTCTCTCTTGAATTCATCATCAGAGACAGTTGCAGAAAATGGTGGCTAGTGTACAGGAAGTCGCAGTATTTATAGGATGCGGTCGCCATGCTACCGCATACCTACAGCAATTAACCGTGCTCCCTTCACCAAGGATTTTTGCCCGCTGGTGCGCTAATTGCTTGATGGCCGGCATGCAAGTTGTTAATTGCTGACCTCTCATCACCCGTGTTGGATGCTGGCGTGATGATTGCTCGGCCATCTGGCTCACCGGCTTGCGCGCTCGCAGAGTGGTCAATTGCTTTGGCCAGTCTATGCCTCAGGACAGAATATGGAGTGGGGATGTCGTTGCACTTGTTGATAGACTGAGGTCCCGTGATCCATGACTCAAGCAACTCGCGGCTCACGCGATTATCTCCTCTCAGGAGCGATTCGGCCTCATCGAACTTGAATGTGTAGCCGGGTCTCGTCGAATGGGCCGCGACCTGAGAGTTGGCGTCATTTCTCCGTACAGCTGCCACGTGTTCGGCGATTCGCGTCCGGAGCAGTCTTCCAGTTTCTCCGACGTAGTTGCTTTGTCCGTAACTGCACCAGATCCGGTAAAAGACTCCAGATGTTTCTTGCCGTGGCAGTGGGTCTTTTGGTCTCATCACTTGACGCCTCATGGTGGCCTCCGGTCTGTGCGCAACTCCAACCCCAAGTGGTGCAAGAAGGCGGCTAACGGCCTCGGAGACGTCCTTGATGTACGGGATCGCTCGCCAGAATTTGGGGTCGGCGCGATTTTGTCGCTCGTCTCGGTTGCGCAGGCACTGGTTGACGAAGTTGCGCGGGTAATTGTATCTCGGAAAACCCGTCGAAGATAGTGGGATTCGGCAACCTTGTCTTCCGGTTCACTGCAGTGCGTCTCAAGAGAGAATCCGAAACTTCAGGCGAATAAAGCCATTGTACCAGCGATCGCTTCTTCTTCTGATCAACATTCAACCCTATTCATTACCACCTGGATTGCAAAGTGGGTTAGATCGCAGTTGGTAGCCAGGAATCGGGAAGCGGACGGCGAGGTCTCTGGCCCTTCCCCTAACCCCATACCTTAACTCTAATTCTTATCTTAACCCCAAAACCTAACCCTAAGCCCCAAAACCCAACCGTAACTGTAATCCTAAAACGTAATCCTAAAACTGATCCTAACCCTAACCTTAACCCGTTACTCCAAACGTAATGCTAATCCGTAACCCCAACCTTAACAATAAAGCCTATTCCTAACCCTAACCTTAAACCTAAAGCCTAACAGCAACACTAAACCTAAAACCTACCCCTAAAGCCCTAAGGCTAACAGTAAACCCTAACTGTATTAGGGACACCTAACCCTAACATTAACACTAAAACCTAACCCCAACCTTAACTCTAAAATTCGACCCTGACCGTAACCGTAAAGCCTAAACCTAAGTCCCGAAGGCAAAGTGAAACCGAAATCCTAAAACCCAACGCTAACCCAAGCCCTAGCCATAACCCTAAACCTAGCCCTAATCTTGACCCTAACCCTAGCCTTAACCTTAACCGTAACCCTAACGAGAACCTTAACCCTAACCCTAACCGAGATCGTACACCTAACCGTAGCCCTTAAGCATAGCCCTAACCCCAACCCTAACACTGAAGCCCGACCCTAAAACGCAAACCCTAATCCCAAAACTTAATATACACCTTACCCTAACCCTCACTAAACCCAACAGCCTGACCGAAACGGGAGACCTGCCTAACTCAGTAGGAGCACACCTACTGATACCAAGTTCCCTAGACAAGGTAAGCACACCCACAGATAACAGGTAAGTGCGTCGACTGTATCAACGTAAAATGCCTGGCTACCAACTGCGATCTAACCGCAAAGTGAGATGCGGGAAAGAATACTGAGAAAGACGAAGGAGAGTGGGGTTTCAATTAACCGTCGTCTGCCGGTCAAACTCAACTTATGGTCTAAATATCCCAACATTTGCACTCACATCCATTGATCAGTGGGATTTAAGCAGTTCAGGGCTCTACTACTCTGAGCCAGGGGTTCATTTGCCAGTCGGCTATATTCGAGAATATTCATGAACGCCCAACAAACAAGGACCCAGAATCGAATCCCAGCCCATCCATCCCCGGGATTGGGCGCGAATGACTGAGGAGGGTTAGTTAGCCAGAAACGGTCATCCCGAACCACTTTGTCGGCATCAACAACGGTAGAAAGGCGTCCACTAATCCGATTAAGGGGATATGCTCGAAGCAGAGGTTATCTTGGCCACTGTGACAGGGGTCGTTAAATACGAACTTAAAAATTATCTGTGTTGGAGAATTCTTACAACCGTCGGGTTACGAGACATGCTAGTTTAGTTGCGCTTTGGGACTCACTCTGGTGACCTTGAGGATGGTCGCATAGTAACCAGCAATGATAGGCGCGCAATCTCCTCTGCACAACATGTGGAGAGATTCAGCTTTTCCAGAGGCGCTTGATCTGACAATTTCATTATAAAATGGTGCATACGACTGATGAAAGTAAATTCCGTAAAAGTAGGTATAAAATTCCAGTTAGAGCATAAATGGGTAATGGGTATAACCAAACCAGTGGGCCGTCGCTGTCGCTTTACTCGAACAAATCGCATTTTTCCTATTAACAAACCTTCACTTTTAATTTAATAGTGGATGACTGTTTGCTATTTCGAAAGGCCAACTTTTGAAAATTCGACGGAAATCAAGGCTTACGAAACGTGATTCACCTTACGAGCTCCACCAATGACATGTGAGGAGTCGACGGTCACTTTAAGGACTACTGTTTTCCACGTAACCTAACCGTTTCGACCAATGAAAACGACTATATGTATTTTTCGAAGTGTAATAAAGTCTGTTCCCCTGTCCTGCTCAAGCAACTTCCATAAACTGAGGACACGGTCGATAACAACATTGGTCCTGATTTCCTCCGTAGTCTTCTTCTTCTTCTTCAAGCGGTCTCTTCTCACCCTCATTAGAAGAGCGACATGGAGGAGGAAGCCACTTCTCAACAAATTACGACACCTGTTTGCAAGTATTCTGCGCAGCGAGGTTTCTCCGCAAAAAAATTGGTTTGGATTTTGTCGTATGCGGTCTCTTACAAAATGCCTTGAACCTGTTATTAACAATAAAGACCATCGGTCCGCTCCAAAATGTACTCGTTGGTTATATACCTCCACATTATTCAACCGAGAAAGAACATTCACAACTATCTATACTCAGATGGTCTTCTATCTGCTTTAAATTGACTTCTCATCGCAGAGCGCATGCCTTGGAAATACGACCTATGTGGCTTATTTAAATTAATATCAATGACCAAACAAGCAGATCGAATTCGCCGGTAAGGGGCAAACAAAAAGGATAATCATCTTTGGCATCTCCTTTATTTTGGAGAATTACTGAACAGATTGGTAAAGTTGAGAGATCCGCGTTGGTCGTTTGAAGAAGAAGAAGAAGAAGAAGAAGAAGAAGAAGAAGAAGAAGAAGAAGAAGAAGAAGAAGAAGAAGAAGAAGAAGAAGAAGAAGAAGGACTCGCCGGACCAGGTTTATTTAGATGCTGACGTTTCGAAGAGCTTGGTCGGCTCTCCATTGTCAAAGCATAAAATGCACTTAATCGATCAGAAATCCCAAGTGGCATAGTGTGTTGGTCGGCCTCATGCTGATCGATTTTTCTCTCCTCCCGCTGTCTCGGCCTCTCGGGAGATGGTTGACGGGCCAGTTGTCTGTGTGCTTTGTGAGCCACCACACCGTCGGGGGAGGTGATTGAACCAGTCTCGGGTGGTCGGTCTGGCGGTTCTTGTTCTTCTTCACCGAGTAAACCCGCCGTCGGGCTGTCTCTGTATGGCCTTCTTAAATCCAATGTGGTTGTTTGGTCCTGATCTCTACGATGGTGATGACGTAGGACTTTGCAAGCTGCAGGAAGGTCCAGATGCCTGTTGATGGAGTGGGTCTCGGAGAACCACGCCTCGAGAGTCAGCCGTTCTGCTTTTCTGTTGCTCCGACCTAAGATGGTAGCTCGCTGGACCTTCCTGCAGCTTGCAAAGTCCTACGTCATCACCACCGTAGAGATCCGGACGAAACAACCACATTGGACTTAAGAAGGCCATACAGAGACAGCCCGACGGCGGGTTTACTCGGTGAAGAAGAACAAGAACCGCCAGACCGACCACCCGTCGCTGGTTCAATCACCCCCCCCCCCGACGGTGTGGTGACTCACAAAGCACACAGACAACTGGCCCGTCAACCATCCCCCGAGAGGCCGAGACAGCGGGAGGAGAGAAAAATCGATCAGCATGAGGCCGACCAACACAATATGCCACTTGGGATTTCTGATCGATTAAGTGCATTTTACGCTTTGACAATGGAGAGCCGACCAAGCTATTCGAAACGTCAGCATCTAAATAAACCTTTTCCGGTGAGCTAATCTTGTTCTTCTTCTTCTTCTTCTTCTTCAAATTACTGAGCAAAAAGGTAGAGGCTACGAGGACTAAGTCTGACGTAGGTAACTTCGCCAGTCGGACATACTCCAAATCCAGGTTTGCAGACTACGGGAGGTCAGTTGTTTATTGAGTGAAACGCCCTGCCATTTAAGACATGCACCCATCCTATTGCACTCGGGCTGACGATCAACGAACTGTTTTAATAGCGGCACGAAACACGAAGGTACGGTCTAACCTCCTAGTTCTGGTCTAAAGTCATCGCATGACTCTGGGAACGGCCGTGGTGCGGAGTAAGGTTGGCCAGACGAACATTTTGTAGCCGATGTCATCTGCCGTTACGCGACCGCATTCGTAGACCTAGACACGAACTCCTAGTCAGAAGGAAAGACTTAAACCGTATCCGAACGTCAGGGGCAGTTATAAGACCCACTGAGAATTTTTCAACGACGCCCCCGAAAAACCCATAGTGAGTTTTGAAGCTCGCAAATTATCTCCAATTTGAAGTTCTTTGACCCGATGTTGGACCAATTTATGTGAAGGCTCTCCAACAGAAGAGCCGCAGAGCTCTTGGTAGGTGAGAGATGGATAGCTGCATTTTCTGGTTTACTCTTAAATGGACTTCCAAGTCTCTCTCACATTGCACACTGGTTTTTTTCCGACCTGTTCCTTCTTCGCCTGGGTAGTCAAACGGACGTGATTTTTTGGGCTGTGAAACAAGAAAGTAACCCGGTACCTCATTTGAACCGGCGGAATCCACGTGGCTGAACATAGTCCACCGGTTTCAACTTCTTGCGGTTCCGGCATGGTCTGGCGGCCTCGGCTTCGTTTATTCGCTGTTGGATTTTGATTCTGCAGCTTGGAGCAGGATAATTGATTTCCTTGGCCCTTACGACTTATAAACACGGCTCTTGGACACGTCGGTAAGACATTCACAAAGCTGTCCGGAATTCTGGGACAGTATTCGGGCATGGAAGTTCCAAGTCCCATTTTCGCGCAAACGGTCGCACAGTTACGAGCAGCCAATAAAGGGAGAGCACAGGTGAACACTGGTCTCCACGTCAGTGTCGGTGGGTCAGATGGTCGAGCAATCATCACACCAACATCCAACGCACGTGATGAAATTGCAGAAATTACCGACCCGAATGTCGGCCATCAAACAGTCATAACACCTAGTGCAACGATCCCTGATGAAGGGGGAGCCGTGAATATTCATAGGTATGCGGTAGAATGGCGACTGCATCCTATAAATACTGCAGCCCCATGTGCATGAACCATCCGTGTCTGCTTTTGACTCTGATGATGGGTTCAAGTAGGAATATGAAACGTCAGGCGAATACGGCTCTTGTCCAGCAATCGTGTCTTCTTCACAAAAGCCGAAAAGGCCCCGACCCGAACCAGGGCATTTTGGTTCTAACATTGGGACATTACCGGCTGACTACGGCAAGGATACCGGAAACTACCTAGTGGTTAGGGTGGGTAAAGACTGTACGAACGAACGTGTGCCCAGTTGAGTAGTGTAAACTTTATAGCACCCATGTCAAACTGCTTGTTTTTGCTATTAGCATTCATGAATATGCAGAAGAAGAAGAAGAAGAAGAAGAAGAAGAAGAAGAAGAAGATCGATAAAGGCAAGGGAGAGTGGAGAGGCAGTTTCTGGCTTATTAGCCGTCGTCAGACAGCCAGTCAGCCATTCCCGAAACCAGGTTTGCGTCCATCAAGCGTTTTTAAGCCCAACACTCTACTACTGAGCCAGGGACTTGTTGTCCCGTCACTTTTGACCCGAAATATTAACTATGCTGGACATGCTTTCATTGAGCCCCAGGGCATAGAGCAGCCTCCGTAACCCGATCGGTGAGCGCACTACCAGAACGTGTCAATTTACAATATTCTAAATGCGAAAATAAACACATATCCCAGACTTTTTAAAGTAGGGTGAGGGTGGGTAAATTCGTTTTGGACGAAAATCCGATTGCAAGGCTGAGCACCGCACATTCTCGGACAGGTTCTTGCGACTGGCAGGGGGTTAACTGAAGTTTTCACCCTTTTTGTTTGCAGACCGCATGGATCTGGTTCAGTTTCCTCTAGAATAATCAATGCAAAACGGTGCCCAATCGGTCAGTATAATTGAAAATTAGTTTAGACTGCCATTAATGAGGGCACAAATGAGTGTTTCACGATTGCTGTCTGGAACTCACACCCTACCTCGTCCTATTTCTGGTTTGAGCCGCGGTGTTTACGAACGTAGATCAACAGCCTGAAAAAAAACAGGCCAAGAGTCGATTTAAGTCTGGGCCTCGGATGAGAACTCGGTCAATCGATTTATCGATCTGGCGCCGGCGTAGTCACCTCTAGTCTTGCGCCGTCGGTCAATGATTAGCCTACATGCCTTATAACTGTCGCCTGTTCTGTTGCTGCTGCTACTACCTCTGACGATAGACTCCTGTACGAGTCTGAAAGCTCAGGACAATAAACAAAGTGTTCTGGCGCTCGACTCTTCTTCACTTAAACAGCTGCTATCTCCGATCGGCTCATGTAGGCATCATTCTTATTTGGATTTTGCTAAGCTTCACTCGACAATCTGACCAGCAGCACTCACAAACTGTTTCAGAACGCACGGAATATCCCAACTACCCTGCAACAACGTCATCCGAATGTACGAGAGGTGCTTCTTTGCCCGAGCTCCGCCCACCCTGTGCATCCAATAAGGCGTTGGCAGTCTCCATCGGGTGGTTGCGTGCACAAACACTCATGCACAGAATGTTTATGAAAAATTAACGGACTCCTTGTGTCTGTGGGTCTTCTATCCTCCCCGCCCCCGTCCCCCCCCCCTCCCCCATCTCCGTCACACCTCCGCTCTCCTCTTTCCCCCCTCACGCCAGGCACCGGCTTTTAACGCTAGCCTGTATCGGAGTGTGTGTGTGTGTTTGGGCGGGCTCACGCACACGCAGTGGGATTGACGCGATTGGTCAGCCGACCTGACGAGCAGAACGGCGGGCTATTGCGTGCGTAGACCGCCCTGGCTTCGTGGATCGCGTGCACAAAGTCATTTGCGCCAATACTGAACTGCTAGTCGGACGGCTGCGCCCGCGCGCTCTGCGCAAAAGCCACAATGAAACAACTCCAGCATCGTTGTTGCGTGCAAGCCCAGTTTGCACACACAGCCAGTCCCTTTCAATCCGTAGCCAAATATGCGCGCTGGAGCAGGCGTTTGGCGGGGGAGGGGGTAGATGCGGGGGCGTGGGGGAGGGGGGAGAGAGCTGGGCTCAGGATTGCGTGAACCCCCCAATGGCGGAAACCATCTATTCTCCACTTCAGCACGCCAGGGTTGCGTCGCGCCCAGGAGTGCTGAAGATGACACTGCGGCCAGATGTGGCAAGAGATCGGCCGGAGTCAAGTTCCTCGTCAATCACTTACTCGCGTGGTGTTACAATGGGCTGTTGACGGTATGAATTCTCTTCGGAGTGTCAGAGTGTCATGCGACCCAAGTGGAATGGTAGGCGTCAAGTCGGACTAACATTCAGTGATGATCTGAGTTGACTGCGTGCATTCCGTTTCTGCCTAAGGTCCGTAAGGTTTTGCTCTTCGCGGAGAAGGAGGCATTATCGCTGGAGCAAGTGCTTCATTGACCTGACGTTTCGGATTCTTACTCGAATCCATCTTCAGAGACAGAGTTTGCTAAGGGTAGTGGAATTCTAAGGGGCTGTGATATTTATAGGATGTAGTTGCTAGGCCGCTACATACCCATCACAGATGGCAGCCCCGAGTGCATCACAGCTCGACTAGCCAAGTGTTGAAGTATGCTGTTACCACGCAGTTGCTATGCGTCTGTATGCCAGTCAAGATTGTCGGCTCCCACGCTCATCGCACGCCGCCGAGTGGCTAACTGTCGGAATTCGTCATCTGTGTGGACTCTTGGGCAATTAGGCTCACCTACATTGGCATCACGGACAGTGGTCATTCGCACGCCCTCCTCGCGGATAACTACTTTGCCTAGGCAAAGTCTTAACCCCCAACATGGAGCGGGGAGGTCGTTGTGCTCATTGATTAACTGAGGACCGGAAAACCATGACTCGAGCAGTTCACGGCTCACGCGGTTGTCGCCTGTAACAAGAATTTATGCTTCGTCATACTTGAATGTGTGGTTGGGTCCCGTCGAATGAGCCGCGACTTGGGAGTTGACGTCTTTCCTTCTCACTGCTG